AAAAATTGCATACCCTGAGAAACAGTTTTCTCACAGTACACCCACCATCAATCTCGGGGATGTAGCAGCATCTTGATTTGGAGTATTGGAAGAATACATCCCACGATATGATAATGGGATGGTTGTCAAACAAAGGATTGATGGTCTGGGATGCCACGTCACTAGCCAGCTCTTGGAGGTAGATTTTCTTGTCAGATACTGAGAAGGCATGGCTCTTAACGTGGTTTATTTCCTGCATCAGTTTTATCATCTTTCCACTGTCGTTATTATCGTAMAGTTCGTGGAGGTAGTTTCTCAGGAATGGTTTTAAGTACTCGGGGTTTTCTAAACCATGTTCATACTTCATGAAAGAGTCAAAAGCTTCTAACAATATTGGCAAGGGAAGTTCYYTTTGCATACGAAACCAGGCTTTCTGAAAGGTCTTTTGCCAAAAGGACTCGTCTGCTTTCCAATGGATTAGTTCATCAAGAGTGACCTTTCTTCCCTTGGTTCTTTCAATCTCGTCTATCCTTTCTTTGTTGGCAATGTCCTCACAGCATTGAWAGAATAAAAATCTGAAAAATATCTGAAGCTCCCTGATCATCCCTGTTTCATCCTGGTGTTTTTCAAGTTTTGTGTTTTCCATTTGTTTCACGAGATTTGCTATTGCTTTTTGTCCTGTTCTGCGTTTGAACAGCATAGGGTTAAGAATACGGCCACTTCTCAACTTCATGGTTTAGGTCTCTTGATCGGTAACTACGTGATATCGTAAGGGCAAGGAGGAGAGGAAGAATGATAAAGATTGCTCCTTTCAACATATAATTACTTGCGGTTCAGGCGCAATGCTAATAAATTGTAACGTCATACATTTCAACCTGTTCAGGCGGACCAATAGAAATCTATTTCAATTCAGGCGCAATGCAAATGAGTTTAGGCGCAATGCAAATGAGTTTAGGCGCAATGCAAATGAGTTTAGGCGCAATGCAAATGAGTTCAGGCGCCATCTTGACGTCATTTCCTGCTTATCAAATGGACCAATCAGGACCGCGAACGGTTCAGGCGCAATTCAGGCGCAAAAACCGGGGTAATTATCGACCTATAACACTACTGACTCTTAACTAGTATGAGACCTGGCGAAAGAACTAGTACATCTCCTTCGAGAGTTAAAGTAACAATTCCAATCTTTAGTGGTGACCCATTACAGTATCCTATCTGGCACAGCTCTTTCAAAGCTCACGTTGATGTAAAGGACTGGGATGCAGATACAAAACTGAATCTTCTCAACCAATACGTTTCTGGAGGACCCAAGCAAGTCGTGGAGCACTACCTACTTATTGGCACTGAGGATGCCTATGTTAAAGCTAAATCGGTGCTGCACRAAAGGTATGGCAACCCAAATGTCGTAAGTTCGGCATTCCTGAGCAAGCTGGAGAAGTGGCCAAAGATAAACCCCAGAGATGCGGGTGGTCTGAGAGAGTTCTCAGACTTCCTTGAATAAGTTGTCGCTGCCAGAGAAAATATTCAGAGTCTCGCAATCCTGGATTTCGTGAAAGAAAATGTGAAGCTGATCGCTAATCTGCCATACCACGTCGAGAGTAAGTGGAGAGAGGTGATAACGACATGGAGAATTAAGAACGGTGAATCTAGTTATCCAACCTTCTTGAAGTTTGCAGATTTCGTCAGAGACACCGCTGACAGGGCCAATATACCGGAGCTAGAGGACTTGTCTAAGTTGACGAGTAAGCCTAAGTTGGTAAAGGGTCCAGGTATACAAGCTCTAGCAACTTCAGCGTCCACCTACAAACAACAGCCGCGAAGAGAGCCGACAAAAGATCAAGTGATCAAGCTCGAGAAGGACCTCAAGAAAGGGACTGCAGAAAGAAAAGACCAAAAGACTTGTTTGTACTGTAGCAAAGAGCATCAYCTTAATGACTGTAAAGACTTCCRAGAAAAACCCTTTTCAGTGAGAAAGAACTTTTTCTTTAAAAGAAAACTATGTTTGGGTTGCACCCATGGCAACCATCAAATCAAGGATTGTGAAAACCTGCCAACTTGCAAGCAGTGTAGAGGAGCCCACCTGACCTGTCTGCACCAGGAGGAAAAACCGGAAGATAAAGGAGACAGCAAGTGTACTAGCGTGTGCGGCATCAAGCATCAGTATGGAACTTACAACAGTATGATTGTTCCGGTTTGGGTACGACCTCAAGCGGACCCATCCAAGGAGATTCTTCAATACGCAGTGCTGGATGATCAGTCGAACGTCAGTTTTATCTCCAGAAGTTTGTATAACCGCCTAGGCCTTCAGGGAACTCCTGCAACRTTGTGTTTAACGACTATGCAAGACGCCGATGTACCCGAAGAAACCAATCGAGTCAGTGGAGTGGAAGTGCTTGATTATTACAAGGAGCATATTATCAAGCTGCCTACCCKGTACACCTGGAAGAAAATATCAGCTGATACCTCTCAGATCCCTAAACCTGAGGTTGCTCTAGAATGGGACCATCTTGTAAAGATCGCTGAAGATATCATCCCTTACCAACCAGGTGTTGAGATATCTCTACTCATAGGAAGTAACYGTCCGCAAGCCATCCGCCCTCGAGAGATATGTGCGGGAGGTGAGGACGAGCCCTATGGTCAGAGGTCCTTGCTTGGTTGGGGCATAGTTGGTCAAGTCTGTAAGTCAAGACAAGAAATCCAAGGTAAAGTGTGCAACAAGATCTCTCAGATGCGCAGTCACTTCGTAGTGCCTCCTAAGGCGAAAGAAGTTGTTGCAACCGACGTAYTGAAAGTGCTGGAGGCCGACTTCCAACAAACAAGTACAAGGTCAAAACCCCTCTCGGTTGAAGACAGAAGGTTCCTGCGACTACTGGAAGATGGGATATGTAAACTTGACAACGGACATTATCAAATGCCACTTCCTCTTAGGACAGAAGGAATTAGTCTTCCTTATAACCGCCCTCTAGCAGAAAGGAGATGGAGACAGCTCAACTCAAGATTTAAGAAGAATCCACAGTTCCTAGAAGACTACAAGGAGTTCATGAAGGACGTCATCCTCTCATGTGCAGAAAAGGTCCCCAAAGAACGTCTCAACGTTCGAGACGGAAGGGTCAACTATGTTCCTCATACAGGCGTGTATAATGCAAGGAAGCCTGGACAGATAAGAGTAGTTTTTGACTGCTCGGCACGTTACGAGGGAGTTTCTCTCAACGATTGTCTGCTCCAAGGCCCAGACCAGCTGAATGGTCTATTGGGTGTGCTATGCCGTTTTCGAGAAGAGAAAGTCGCGTTCACCATGGACATCAAGGGAATGTTCCACCAGTTTTTTGTGTCAGAGCAACACAGGGACCTGCTAAGGTTCCTTTGGTGGGAAGATGCAAACCAAGAGAAAGAAGTCACTGAGTACAGAATGAAGGTGCATTTATTTGGTGCCGCAAGTTCCCCTGGTTGCGCCAATTTCGGCCTAAGGAGAGCAGCAGATGATGGTGAAGAGGAGTTCGGATCTGAGGCAGCAACACTCATTCGAGAAGACTTCTATGTAGACGACTGCCTCAAGTCGACCCCTACAGCACAAGATGCCGTGAAGCTGATTAAGTCATGCCAAGSAGTATGCGCCAAAGCAGGCKTGCGCTTGCACAAGATCACTAGCAACAATAAGGAAGTTCTACAGGCTGTTCCTGCGGAAGATCGTACAAAGAACACTAGAGAAATCGACTTGAAGGTCGACCCTTTACCTATCAAACGAGCTTTGGGTGTAGTGTGGTGCGTGGAAGATGATACCTTCCAATTCCGCATTGAACTAAAAGATAGGCCATTTACGCGTCGCGGTGTGTTGTCAACTGTGTGTTCGATCTACGATCCAATTGGCTACGTAGCCCCGGTTATCCTAGAAGGAAAGAAGATTCTTCAACAGATGTGCAGGGATAGGCTAGACTGGGACAGTCCTATTCCAGAATCACTGCGACCATCGTGGGAAAAGTGGCGTACCGAGATAACAGATCTAGAAAGCTTGAAGGTACCAAGATGCTTCAAGCCAGMCGGCTTTGACGAGATAAAGTCAGTAGAAGTCCATCACTTCAGTGATGCTAGCGTAGAGGGATATGGACAGTGCTCATACCTTCGAACTGTTAATCAAGAGAACCATGCTCATTGTTYTTTCATAGTGGGTAAAGCGAGAGTCACGCCGTTAAAGCAAAACACTATTCCGAGACTAGAGTTGGCAGCAGCAACAACATCTGCMAGGATGGGTGAATTCCTGCGTGCTGAGTTGTCTTACCCAAAGCTAGATGAATACTACTGGACTGACAGCAGAGTCGTCCTTGGTTACGTGAAAAATGAAGCACGAAGATTCCATGTTTATGTGGCAAATCGAGTTCAGCAGATTAGAGAGAAGACTGACCCCAACGCTTGGATGTACGTGGAAACGAGTCAGAACCCCGCAGATGACGCCTCACGTGGTTTGACAGCTCGTCAGCTGCTGAACGGTTCACGCTGGTTGACAGGGCCTAAGTTCCTGTGGGAAGACGGTCCCTTTAAAGTTAAGCAAACAGAAGATCRCCCGATAAGTGAATCGGATCCCGAGGTAAAGCAAGGAAAGGTTCTCTTAACCAAGACACAAGACCCACCAAGCCACCTGGAACTGAACAGACTGAGTCACATTTCATCATGGTTTAAAGCAAAGAAGGTTGTCGCCTTGTGTCTCCAGCTGTTGGCCAAGATCCAAAGCCGAAGGATAAAGAATGATAATGAGGCCAAAGAAGATGTCTCAAAAGCACTACGAACAACATCGATRACCCCGTTACTTCTTAAAGAAGCGGAGAAAGTGATCATCAGAAGTGTTCAACGTGAATACTTCCCAGAAGAACTCGGAGCCTTGAGTAACCTGAGTAGATGSAGTGGTGAAACAGAGAGGAGTCTTATAAAGAGGAAAAAGACAGTCCTGCGGAAGTCAAAGTTCCATTTATAAGTTAAACCCCTACATCGACCAAGATGGGCTGATCCAGGTTGGAGGTCGTATTGCCTGTGCTGACGTTACTGAAGAAGTGCGCCATCCCATTCTCCTTCCCAGAAAGTGTTATGTGACAACTATACTCATCCGTTACTATCACGAGAAGGTCAACCATATGGGTCGTAATACCACCCATAACGAACTGCGCCAAAGAGGTTATTGGATCGTCGGTGGATCATCAGCTGTAGCGAATATTATTTCTCAGTGCGTGACCTGTCGCAGGCAGCGTCGACCACTTGARCAACAACAAATGGCAAGCCTTCCCAAAGACAGAGTTGAACAGGCTCTGCCCTTCAGTTACTGCGCAGTGGACTATTTCGGTCCTTTTGTTGTCAAAGAGAGAAGGAGCGAGGTAAAACGATATGGAGTGCTGTTCACGTGCCTAGCATCAACAGGAGTGCATCTCGAGACTGCRAACAGTTTGGACACGTCTTCATTCATCAACGCCCTTAGACGATTTCTGGCCCGTCGCGGCCCCGTGAGACAGATAAGATGTGATGAAGGAACCAATTTTGTTGGGGCCCRAAATGAGCTCAAGGCAGCACTCGCGGAAATGAACCAAGAGAGAGTAGCAGAGTACCTACTTGGACAAGACTGTGAATGGATTTGCTTTCGAATGAACACCCCACATTCCAGCCACATGGGCGGATCCTGGGAACGCCTAATTGGAACCRTGCGAAGAGCCTTGGAACCCGTTCTCAGAAACCATTCCCAACAGCTGGACRATGAGTCTCTAAGAACTGTCATGACAGAAGTGGAAAACATCGTGAACTCAAGAYCCTTGACAGCTCATAATCTGTGTGACTCAGATGCACCAGAGCCCTTGACACCTGGTCACCTTCTGACTATGAAACCTAAGTTACTGATGCCTCCTCCAGGAGAGTTCCAGAAAGCAGATGTTTACAGCAAACAACGYTGGAGGAGAGTACAGTATCTTATCAACGAGTTCTGRTTAAGATGGCGAAGAGAATTCCTGCACACCCTTCAAGAGCGTGAGAAGTGGGTCAATCCAAAACGAGACCTCASTGTGGGAGATATTGTGATTGTGAAGGACGGAGACTTGGCACGAAACAAGTGGCCTCTTGCGAAAGTGGTACAGACCCAAGTCTCAGAGGATGGTCAYGTGAGAAAGGTTAAACTCCTTATAGCTGACGGAGCTCTCAACAACAAAGGCAAGCGCCTACACCCCCCTTCCTATCTGGACAGACCAATTCACAAGTTGGTTCTTCTTCTTCCTGCCGAAAGCTGCCAAGAAGACTAAACAGGAGATTACCGGGAATTCCCAGCCGAGGAGCCTTGGTTTMCTTTTCAGACATTGAACTTTGTTAACATGGAACATTACGTTGAACTTTAGATTTCTCATGTTGTGATTATTAGCGAGCGCATTATTTACATATTTTAGTAACTGTTASCCACAGTTAGGGGAGCCATGTTGCCACAGGCGGGTCCCCTGTGTCAAGTGCGACGCCGCGCGGTATGTCCAGCGGTCGCGCGTATAAGCATACGTTGGGACTACGTTGTTCGCCCAGATAGAACGATTACTGTCTTGTTATCTAACAGTAAAGAGTAGTTTTTTTGGGTTAAATTGATGTAAATGCGATCTATAAGCTATTAAAACGGTTTGAATTAGAACAAGAGTAACTTTGAATCGAAACTCCATCCCCAAGTGGCGATGGCAGCCACAACTGTTATGCACTTCTTTCGTGTTATGTGCAGCTCCCTGAGTAATCCTCTCACTGCTGAGAGAGATGGAAGGTCGCCAGGGAGAAGATTGAAATGCTYTGCAATCATTTCAACACATTCTCTTGCGTACGTTAAATTATAAATTATGATTTGGGCTTTAATATAAACTTTCATCCATTCTGGCATACACACAGGACGTCTGTTTTCAAAAGAGCGTCAACGGAGCTGTCCAGACAGTTGAAACTGAGTTATCAACTTAGAAACGAAGTTATAGGATACCCGCTCTTGCCTAGCTGTAGCAGCTATAGACCCYGTAGTGATATAACTCAATATTATTTGAATTCGAGTTTTCATGGGATAGGAGGCTCCATGAAGAAATGATCCTCCTTCAAAATTCACTTTCCAAGACATTTTGATGTAAGCTGACTGAGATAATTATTGAGTTCATTGTATCATTGCCAACAATCAGATTCATTTAAAACGAAAACAGCAATGTCAGCAATCAAGAGAAAGTGTTTTACAATTGGACAAATTCTTTAATGAGAACTTTAAATTAATGCCGAGTATAAGTAGCGTGGCTCATCATAACTCACTCAGTTGTGCGCAAACATTCATAGGACGAACGCAATATCTTGTTATGTCGCAGCGAACCTGTGTGAAGTGCCGCCTTCATGGCAAGATTAGCGTTTTGCGCGGACATAAACGAAATTGTCCTTTTACRCATTGCTGTTGCAATAAGTGTGCGTCTCATGACAACGCCAAAGAAATGAGAGACGTACAATCCAAAGAAACTACTAATTTGACTACAAGTGAAACTGTACGCATGTCAGCCCAAAACCCTTCCCATAAATGGCTCAAAAAGACGTTCTTCCCCTTAGAAATTGAAGTACAAACTCTTCATAAATGCCACACTGAAGCAGAAAAACGACAAGGTACGTAGAAATTCATATGCATTTGTGTAATATAATTCGTTGCTTAAAAAAGTGCTGTTWTTTTTATAGAGAAGAGACATAACAGGACGGAGCAACACAGGTCATTTTACACGGCCCTCAACACTTATACTTCTGAAATTGTCAAGGCGGAACCAACTCTTTYGCCTCTCCAAGTGTTGAGGGGATCAATCAAAATGAACCAACAGAACATACCCACTGGTACGTGTATAGARACAGTCCAAATGTCTGCTGATATGACAAAAGAACACACAGCATCTGCCAACACAGCGGAAAGAAGATTCTTGGACAACTTGATTAAATTGAAAGAAGTACTACCCGACGCCAGTGTCAATTCCTTGCCGCAGCTCTAAGGGAAAGGAATAATGACATTGACTATCAATTTTATTCTGACTAGCAGCAACACAGAAACAAAGGGAGTGGAATATTCAGAAACGTCAAGTATTGCAGCGATGTCCGAAGAGCTTGAAAGGGGAAAGATGGCAGACCTCACATCAGTTTCTGTTGATYGCGATACTTTGACAAGTATTCTCGAAAATGTGAAGAGCGTTGAAGCGAAACAAGCTCAAGCACCAAAAAACTACCAAATGTTCCYAATCCAAAATCTCTGGCCCTGAGTGCGCCAACAACCAGCCAGTCATTTACATCGCAAAGATGTTGCACTTCATGCGGAAATTCTGCAGAGCCTGGAGATAACTTTTGCTCATTCTGTGGTAAACTGTTATCAAAAAACTACGACCGATTGTAAAATGAAAAATCTAATGAATATGTTCATTAYGAAACGGGATAAAAAATATATTTAGAATTGATGGTCTCTTGTGTATCCTTTTAGARTGCATTCAGTTAATCCGTGAAACTTTAGTAATACAAAATTGCACAAAATTGTACAAAAGCCTCTGGTTTCTATTGTTTAACTTGCACTATTTAGTACAAAATAGTAATTTGTGTTTCACGGATTAACTGAATGCACTCTAATTTTTGAGTCCTAATTACTCT